CGCTGTATATGACTCTAAACTGTTTTTTGTTTTTTTTTGTACTGATGGTGCCTTTCTAGAGAAGTAAGCTAGCCATGCCATTGCCACTGCCACTAATGCACACCCATACCATCAGAGAGGCAGACCTTTGAACTGTGCATTGATAACAGACTGAAAAGTCCCTCTATTCTTCAGTTCAACAGCTCTACCKTTTGAAATATCTGCATTTTGCTATTATTTACATTTTACACAACATCTCAACTTTTTCAGTATTTGGGATTGTATACTAGACATAAGAAGCAGCGTATTTACTGAACCTCATTATGTAGAGAGAGCGTCGAGAGAGCAATAGGTCCACCCATTCGTGCGGAGCGTCCTCCTTTACTAAATGCATAACACTGTCTGACAGAAGACTCAAGCCAGCAATGGTGCTGCCACAAAACTGGAAAGAAAGAAAAAACATGTTACAAAAAATAACAAAAAAGGGACAGTTCATAAAAYATTACAGTGCTATAACGATTTGTAGCGACTTACCATAGACCTACCTTCACACTGTCGATATGTGGCTTAATGTAGCCGGTTTTGTCCAAATCTAGAACATGCACGGGGCCAAGGAGAGGACTGCTGTCRAGAAATGCCACAGACCGGACACGGTTCAGGATTTCTTCGCAGGTTGGGCCCCACCTCAGCCGCTCGGTCTCTCTGTAGCCATGAATTGCCTRCATTTTCATCAGGAAGCACAGGGCAATTATTAAAGCGTTATTTTAAATTCAAATTATACCCAAATTCCCTCGTTATGTGACTTATAAAATAAAATAATCTGCACTGAAAACAAGTTCTTAAACTTGGGGACAGGGGACCACATAAACTTTATATGGGGGTTATTATTTCAGAATGATGTGAATCTAAAACTACATCTTTAAAACATCGAGTTTAAACATAAATTGTTATTTATTATCTTTTGTTTATTTTTTCATGAAAGCCATCAACTGCAATGCAGTCAATACAGCGTTATACACTGTATTATTATTTTTATGAACCTGACTTACATCGTCCCAGTGGTCGAACTCGTAGCGTTTCTTCTTCAGTCCTGGTTCCAGCTCGTGCAGAAAAGCAGCTTCCTCCTCCTCAGTGATGAAGCTCGTCCTCACCTCCACCTGAGAGCCTAGACCTCGCACGAGCTCCCGGCTGGACCCCACTATCACCTCACCTGCGAGAGGCAACACCGGGCCGCTGCCAGCGTGGGAACTCCGGCGGCAGACGTAACCAGCAGCCTTATAGGTTCGTTTTAGCGCTGTAAACAACACTTTCATCCTCAAGTATAAAGTGAAGTGACTCAAACTTTCCGCACAGGCTTTGCTTATCTTCAGCTGGTCCTTTGAGTTAGGCTAGCAAGGGTCAAATCGTTGAAGTCGCCATGATAAACCGCAATGCATTGTGGGTGGAGTAGTTCTGCAGCAAGAAAACTCACGGTTATTTTATTTGAAAACTAATCACGCTGTATTGTGCGTCAAAAAGCACAATTTGTAGATGTATTCGGTATTTAATAATATTGTGATAACCTTTGCTTATTAAGTGCGTGCAGCAAAAAGACAGCGAGAGAGGATGTTGTAGTTCTTTGATGCAAACACTAGATGGCGCTAAAGACTGATAATAATGTTCAGACCGGAAGTGGGGCTTTTCTGCACCTGCTGAACTTGTGACTTTATGATCTATTAATATTTTCTAAATTTGCTGTATTTGATAAAAGGTACTTCCAAAAGAATGTTAATGGCTTGCTGCATTAATGATTTGAGCAGTGTTATGT